TTTCAAGAAAAAAAAAAGTCTCTAAATAAAGTATTCCTTGCATTTACTTTTTTGATTGATAAAAAATTACCAAACGACTTCTTAATTCAGTTTATCTCTCATTTGTAATTTGCAAGTTATTACATATGAATTAGATTTACTCAATGCATAATTTTAAATTAATAATATCCATGAGTTTCACTCGTCAACAAAAAACAATATAATAAAGTATTGCTAGATATGAGAAAACTTGTATAAATACCTGTCCATTCCGATCCCTACCATTGAAACCAAGCACAAAGAGAGGCAAAGTTAACTACAAAGAACAACCCAACCTCCAAGAAGATGTCGCGCATCACCGACGGTATATATATATTAAAATTATGCAATTTCTCAGAAAATAATAATTTATATATCTTCATATATATCACTGCAACTTCGATCAATTGGTTGTTACTAACCAGGGATTATGGGTTTAACCGAGTTCGTGTTTTCGTTGACTGTAGCAACGTTGTTATAAGAACTCCGGTGATTGGCTAGTTCGGATCCAACGAGATTGGGTTGAAGTGGATGTTGTAAAACCTGCATGCATGCCCCAATATAATAATAAATGTTTGTACATGGATTTCATGAAAAACTCCATCTTTATTGTACTATCAATCCTATTTGTATTGTATCCTTAAATAAGAGTGGGTGGCTAAATAATATAATTAAACATCTGCTATGTGTTTATGTTCATCAATTGCTGAGTTTCTTTTTATAACCAAATTCTCTCCAGCTTCATCCACTCTCCATCAACTCCATGATTTCATTTTTTAGATTTCCAACTTATATTTTACTCCGTAATTTATTATGATTTGATTAATAATTAAAGGTTCATAAGTAGCCGTATACGTAGTTATATTGAAGATTATGTTGGTGTATTAGACTCTGGCCTTTTGTAAGTAATCTTGGTGAACATTTAGTGGATTGGACTTACGTGAGTTGCCCCGCAGACGTAGGAGTTTAGCTCCGAATTGCATAAACAATTGCTGTGTCCCTGGTTCTATTTTCTTAACTTGTCTTTTTAATTTGTTCTTTCTAAATTTGAAAAACAAACTTAATTAAAGGTAATTTAATTGGTAATTAAAATTAAGTAGAACTTTAAGAATCACTTGCATTGAAGACTCATATCAATCTCAATAGCCACTTACAATGTCATTTTATGCTATTTTTTCAACAATATATTATGTCTACATACATTATTACCATTGAAGAGTATAAGAGAAAATATTGTGTATGCATATGCATGGTAAGAGAAAAGATAACAAAGTTATAACGGTAGAGATATATTTGTTTAAAAATTTGTATAATATAACTCTTATACCATAATGTATAAAACAATGTTAACAGAAAAACAGACATAAATTAATAATATAACATGAATTGAGACTTATTTTATTTTTAAATTACAAATGTCCATGGTTGCAATAGGCGCTAGTCGGGCGGTAGAGTAGCGCCTAGACGGCCTAGGCGGTTAACTGAAAAAAAGAAAAACAGTGCACGTGTATAAGTGCATATATGTCATATTATATATATATATATATATATATATATATATATATATATATATATATATATATATATATATATATATATATATATATATATCTACTATACTAATAAGAGCCCAAGAGAGTTAAGCCTATAATGGGAAGAAAAAATGGCGGTCACAGATTTTAATCAAATGAATGGCTCAGATTAATTAAAAGATTGATAAGATTTAAATTTTACACTAAAATTTCCTAAAATACCCACACACCGTTACTAATTCCGTTAAAATTTTAAGAATTGCCGTTAGTTCACCGTTAACTTACTCATTGATTTCAAAAAAAAAAAAAAAAGTCTTAGGTTCGAACCTCATCTCAATCAAAGTTGGCATAATTAGTACTCTATTTTACTCTTATTAAATTATATATAAATAATAATTTAGTAGCTACAACAAAAAATTATAGATATGCATTTATTTAATTTAGAATTATGTGTCCACAATGCCTTTATTCAAAAAAAAAAAATATTCATTATCAATAAATTAAATAAGAGAAATAATTGTATTAGTTATATTGTCTTTATTTTTCTACAATATAAAAATTCTTTATATTCAAATTTATTAATTGATTATGTTCGCTACATTGTCCTTATAATGTATTAATTCAGTGAAAAAAAATTTATTCATTATCAATAAATTAATTAAGAGAAATATTTTCATTAGTTATATTGTCTTTATTTTTCTCAAATGTAAAAATTTTTACATTCAAATTCATCAATTGATTATATTCACTACATTGTCTATTATCTTTTTTGTGCACTATTTTTCTAATTAAATTTCAAAGTTATAATACAAAATAATGCTATATATTTATTTAAGAAGTATTTTATTAATACCATGAAAAAATTAAAAAAAATATAATTAATAAAGCCAATCATATTAACTACTTGAGAGTTTTTGTGACAAAGAGAGTATTCAAATCACACAACAAATTGAAGTGAGAACTACATTGCAATGTCCTTGTTTGACAATTCGCAGTTAGCGGATTATATTAGCGGATTTGACCAACAAATTTATTTAATTATTAACATTGGGTAGAAAAAATGACCGCCAAATTATTAAATCAAATGAATGGTTCAAATTGTTCAAGTTTTAATTTTTTTTAAAGTTTTTCTAATTTATCCTTAATTATATGATTATCCATTTAACTTTTTCGTTAAATACCGTTAATTCACCGTTAGTCTAATTCTAATATTAACGTCTAATATAGAATTATAATTACATCATTAATCTAATTCTAATATTAAAGTCTTAATAGAACTTAACCACAAATCCTAATGTCGAAATCTCCTCAAACAATATTAGTATATATTTAATATTTTATGCCCTAATTTTTATTTGTTCTCCCTTATGTCCCGTATTTGGTTTCAACCATACCTATACAATTATTTTATTGACAATTATAATCAATCTTGACTATATTATCTTGCATTTGTAAACTTAGAAATTACCTATTTAACCCGCACGGGCTTAGCTCAATGGTTTAGTGGGCAGTATTTGGGAGAAGAGACCAAGGTTTGAACCTCGGCGGCGGCAGTGCGGGAATTATGTCCAAAGTGGGCAGATTCCTTGTTCGCACCGGCATTTGGTCCTGTCTGCTGAACCATTGAGTCACCGTGATTTACAACTTCCCACAATGCTCTGTCGGGTCGGAGTGTGGGGGGCCCTTGGGGTTGGGGACTCAACCTTTGGGAGAAGAATTACCTATTTAAATACGCAAATTCTTAATTCTTAATATACTTTAAAGTACTTATTTAAAAAAAAAACATTGGGCATTATCCCAATCGCGCAATGCGCGTAAAAAACTAGTATATATATCATATAAATGAAAAAAATTAGCAAGGTCGAGTCGGTCGGGTTAACTCGGCTAACTCGACAGAAATTAACGAGTTAACTCGGTGTAATCGGCCGAGTTAGGCGCTAGGCGGCCGAATTAGGCGCTAGGCGGGCGCCTAGGCGGCCGGTTTCCTAGGCGGGAGCCTAGGGAAAAAATCGCCACGGCCTAGAGACACCTAGTACCTAGGCGCCGATTACTCAGTGCCTAGGCGGGATTTTTACAACCCTGCAAATGTCACATATTACTAGAAATGAATGGCAATCTAGTTAATAAGTCATAGGTAAGAACAAACTAAATTTGGCCGAACTACGTTAAAGTTCAAAATAGACCAGAGGTGACAAGAAGTAAGTAATATATATATATATATATATATATATATATATATATATATATATATATATATAATTAAGCCTTAAAAAATCTTACATTACCGTAAAAAAATTTCTTAAATATAATTTCGCCACTTTGGTCATTACATTATATAGATAGTCTCAAGAAAATTGTCCAAGAAATGGTATTATAGATGAATAAAGTTTAAAATTAAATGCGAATAAAATAAATGATGTCTTCATATGGCACGTACTGACGTACGTAGCATCAATCTCTATCACTGACCGGTCTGACCCACACAATTTTATTGGCATGGGAAAAGCCTGGCTGAATTCTTTTTTTTTTTTTTTTTTTTTTTTTTTAATTCTTTTTTAAAATTTACATGATCTAGCTTTGTTAGATTAATATTAAGTCTATTAGATTCCACTCATAGAGTCACTCTGAAAGTAAATTACGTAATTGCGCAATCAGTGATCTAATAATTCAAACCTTCCATCATTCTTATCAACGGTTTAATAATTCAAACCTTCATCATCCTTAGGCCTTTAACCTATACATGTTTTCAGTGGGATCCGAACCCTCACACTACCGTCTCAAATCATGACTTTTAAGTTAGGCGACGAACCAACTACGCTAAGCTCATGAGACAGCCTCGGCAAATTCTCATAAAATGTTATACATGGATAATGATTTACCTTACATTATTTTGGACCATGATCCAAAACTATATTCAAATTATTACTTTTTTTGCAATTAACTTATTATTATGTGTCTTCATTGAATAAATTATGTATCTACTACAATATTGTGAAGAGAAGGAAGCAGCGGGAAAAGAAAGTTTGAACTGAATTACTTTCACGATGAAGAAGACTGTCTAACTAATAATTGAGACTTTCCTTTCAAAAAAATAAAAATAAAAATATAGATAGTTACAACATCTAAGGAAAGGAAGTTACAATACTACCCTTTAAGCTTCTACTTTCTTCCTCTAATATACAATAAAGAGTAAATACCAGGCAAGGTCCCTCGAGTTTGGTGGTTTCACCACCTATAGTCCCTAACTTTTGTAATTACCATCTGTGGTCCTTCGAGTTGTGAAATATGATCTGATGCCATTCTCTCGTTAATTTCTTCAATCTAAGTCGTCAAAAATAGGGGTAGATATGTCATTTTCCATGTCCTTCCGATGAACCTATTGCGGAAAACCTCACCCACCCATCACGTCTTGCTTCTGCACCTGAAAGTGCTCGAAATTGGAGACGATGGTGGAAGCTGGCTGCTGGGTCGTCAACCGGAGTGGACTCTGGTTTCATGTTCGTGTCCACGTCGAATAGCCCGGAGAGGTCGAAGCTTGGGGAGAGAGAAATGATTTCGAATGCCTTTAGGCACGTGGGTTTCATTGAGGATCCGATGGCGTCCGAGGTGGAGTGGTCGTCGACGATGTCGAAAATGCTTCTCGGAGATTCTTCGTTCTGGGTGTCAGCATTGGGGATTATGGGTTTGGGTTGGGGTAGGATTTGGGTGAAAATTGCCAACCGCATGAAATTCTGTGCTACCTTGCTCGGAAGCTGGCCGGAGTGGTCTCCTCCGGGCGTAATCTCGTCGCAATAGAAGCGCCTCCATGCTCCTCGCGACGTCTCCGGTGAACTCCACTGTCCACCGCCTCCGAGTTTGTCGCCGGCTGCCTGCTCCGCCGCCTCACTCGCTCACTGACGAACGGTACTCCTCCTCCTCCGGTTAGAGACTTATTTTTTTGTCTTCGGATCTGGAAAGTAGAATTTTTATTTTTGATTTTTGATTTCTCATTGCTTGAGCCTTGAGTGTCGAAGAAGACCAAAAAATTAAAAAAATTTGATTGACTTGATTTCTGATTTATGATTTTATGGGTTGATTTGATGATTTCTAGAAACAAAGGAGGTGGAAGTGGCTGAGGTTGGGGATAAGAAGGCTGAGGAACCCCCACGTATTTAATTGATTGTTCGTATAAAGTTTCAAAAGTTTAATTTATTTTGCTCTCTTTTCCATTTTTATGTGAGGTGTTTTGTGTGTGTTTGCAATGATAAATATCATAGTTTTAGCATTTTTCTGAATAGTTTTTGTATGTTCTCCCTTGGGAAGTAGATAAGGTTCTGAAATCTGAAGATGTAGTCAAACAGGGCACTACAAAGAACTGAGCTTTCACATGTTGAAACCATAAAAAAATTTCTCAAAAGTTTACATTAAATGGTGGCAATATAATGTCTATTTCAGCTTCTGCATCATCCATGGTGAATTTCAACGACGGTGGAGAGATGGAACGCGGCGGCAATGAGGACTACGGAGGCGGTGGGTTCTATCAGGCGGAGAAGAAGCGGCGACTTAGCCCTGACCAAGTCCATTTTCTGGAGCAAAGTTTTGAGGTGGAAAACATGCTTGAACCAGAGAGGAATGTAAAATTGGCTAAGGACTTGGGGCTGCAGCCCAGATAGGTTGTGGACTTGCGGTTTGGTTCCAGAACTAGCATGCCAAATACAAGACAAAACATATTGAGAAAGAATATGATTCCTTGAAGTCTTGCCATGATAAACTCACATCAAAGCTGATTGTGATTCCCTCTCCTACGAACTCAAATGACATATCTACCCTCACTTTTGACGGCTTAGACAGAAGGGACTAACGGAAGGATGACAGCAGGTTAAATTTCGTAACTCGGAGGACCACGGATGATAATTATGAAAGTTAGGGACTATAGGTTGTGAAACCACCAAACTCGAGGGACCTTGACTGGTATTTACTCTACAATAAACATATATTATATGTCATTAATATATTATGTGTCTATAGTTAACATATTATATACCTCTAATTTATTTATAAGTACATATTCTATCATCTGTAGGCACATGTTAAATGCAATCACATGTTTATTAACGAATTAGTCATTGGCACCTTGAAACCTTTATAAATACCCTTGCTAGCTCTCACCTAAGAATCCATTCCAGAAAGAAAGAAAAGCTAGTTAAGGAGCAAAGTTCATACTACTCCGAGGATGTCGTCATGGTGTGAAGGTAGTCCCACTTGTATTTCTGTTCCTCTATATATGTATTAATTACAGTCCAGAGATGTGTTAGTTGAGTATGATTTGGTGTTTTATTAATTACGTACAGGTAAGCAATCTTGGCCAGAGCTTGTAGGAGAACAAGCACTGGTTGCCAAAGCCATCATCGAGAAAGAAAATCCTATTGTCACTATAAGAATCGCTTATCCAGGATGCCCCATACCCATGGGCCCTTATACATGCACCCGAGTTTGGGTTGCTGTGGACTGTAACAACGTTGTCCAATGGACTCCTGTGGTTGGCTAGATGGAGCATCAATTCGCCAGTTGAAAATGGGAAATAATCATGCGGCAACCTAGTTTGTGTATTGTCCTTAAAATAAGAGTGGATATTAGCTTATCTACTCCTTCTATGTCTTGTTGTACTGTTGTGCTCGTATTAATATCACTGATTAATAAAACCATTGTCCGCATCCATGCTCTAATAATTCTTTAATTTTGATATATTTCTATTTTGAATATCATTAAATAATGACCCAATCTAAAAACTATAAGTTTCTATTACACATTTATATTTTACCTAAAATAGAATTTCAAATTTATTACATTTAGTAACTTGCCTATGTTACATTCTAGTGAGAAATATTGAGATTTTTACCTGGTACAAAAAGAAATTATAAAAGACATGAAACTTTAATTTGATGCATAAGTTTTAGTTTAAAAAAGGTTGACGAAATATTTAGTTTTTAATTAAAAGTGTGTGACGTCAGTTAATTCAAAGAATATAAATCGAATTATGGGTGTAAGTAAAATATTAGGAGAAATTTAAGAAGGGTAAATAACATTTTCCTTTATGCAATGTTTGGTGTATTATTTTAAACTTTGTATCCTTATTTAAGCCTATATCGGTAGTTATGTTGAACTAATCTTTTGTAGTTATGTTGAACTAATCAGCCACATGCAAGGGAGTGACTGGTTAATGTGTATTGAAGTAATGAATCACGATCACATTCATAAAAATTATTAAAAATGTCAACTCGATCAACTGCTACGTAAGCATGTAACCTGATAAAATTGATGGTAACTTGCTATTCGGTGAAATTGTACACATTTAGAGTGTTCAGTGGTCTAATTACACTTCTTTTCGATTCAGTGACATAATTGCATTTTCAGGTTACGTTCAGTGGCCAATTTGAACCTTATATATTTTAAGCTAGGAGCTTATTTTGAAAACATTACCAAACAGAGCTTATAGCTTATTAAGAGCTTAAAATAAGCTATAAACTCCTAAATAAGCTCTGCCAAACATAGCCTGGGGATCAAAATGTTATGGTTAGCTTTCAGGGCGGTATGTGAGGATCCCCATATTAACGTATGAGTTGACAAAGTAGTTTTTTTGAATTTTGAATTTATTTTGGTTCAGTTTGTTAGGCAAAGTTTTAGTTGTTTTTGTTTATTGGACAAGTATATGTGTCTAGCTTCCTTCTTGTTTTGTATTTCTTCTCTTCATGTTAATATAAAAGATCATTTCTTCTTTTATTTTTTGTCCTGTAGAATTCCAATATGATATTCCCATAGTAAAAATTTCACCTTTTGTGAACAAGTTTTGACCAAACACAAAACAAGACGTAACATAATTTTTAACAAATTTGAATAAGTTTTATGCTTAGCCTTTGATGTAATGTTGCAGTAGGGGTACATCTAGATGACAGTCCTCTTTAAACCCTCCACAAATCCATCGAATAAATTAATTTATTTATCTAATATTTTAATGTGATACATTCTAACATGAAAAAGCATATTTAATACTCAGTATAATTTTCTTTTACCATATCCATAGCACTTAGATGCAATACTCCATAGTTGCATTGGTTGTATCAAATATTATTAGCACTCGCGTTAATGACACTTGATACAACTTGATATTATTAGTACTAGTTATAGAAAAATTATTAATTTAATTTAATCTATTAAAATTTCTTTTATTTCTCTCAAAAGGTTAAATATCTGTAGGGACGGAGTCAGAAATTTCATCCAATAAGGACAAAAGATTAAGGATCTCTTATATATTAGGAGTAAGGTGGAGGAGGGAAACAGCTGCTCCACTGCCTCCATGGTGGCTCTGCTTATGTCTTCAATTTTAAGGATTCACATCCTAACCCGACAGATCATGTGACATTATGATAATTGGTATGTCGTTAGACTCCAGAATAATTGTTTCATTGATGCAAACAAAGGAAAAGCTATTGGCATGCAAAAAGCGTGGCTAAATTCCCATTGGCTGAGTGGAAATTAGAGGATAATAACAAGGAATTGGTCCCTGCCGGGTTTAGGAAAAATCTAGATACTCCCTAGTAGAGTTGATGATTGATAAATATTTCATTGTTTTTATGTAAAATTATAAATAAATATGTAATTTGGAATATAGGCATCAACATAATTTAACTATACTTCTCATTATCTTACAACATCTTTTAATGACGAAAAAAAATTTGTCACCATATTCCAATGGTGTTTAGGCAAATTTAATTGTGGACCATGGTTGATGTAGCAGAATGAATTATGAAATTAATGACATCGTATTATTTTAGTTATACTTTAGTTTCATTTGACAATATACGTTATTATATTATCTCTGTTTTTTAATTTCATTTTCTACACACTAGTTTCATTATAGTAACGCTGAAGTATCATTTTAATTACACTTCAGATTCATTTGACAATATACATTAATGAATGAGTTCTATTTTTTAATTAGTTTTATTTTTCCATACACTAATTTCAGTAACTTTGAAGCTAAGTATCATTTTACTTACACTTCATGCTCATTTGATAATATATGTTATTGTATGGTTGTAGTTTTTTAGTTACATTTTCCACACATACTAATTTCATTATAGTAACTATTAAATATCATTTTAATTACACTCCATATCATTTGGCAATATATATACGTTATTGCATGAGCTCTCTTTTTTAGTTTTATTTTCCACACATGCTAATTTCATTATAGCAATACTATATTACCCCGTCAATTGCATAGGAGAGTCCTGATTGCATGCATGAGAAATATTTCTGTAAATAAGCATGCAAACTAAGAGAAGTAACTCCGAGAACACTACTGAAAATTATGGAATTTCCGACCACTTGAAAGTAATCTTAAATCAAGTCGAAACCAAAAAGTGGTCGGAAATAGCAACAAAGGTTTTTCCGGATATAAAAAATGGACTGAACAAGGCTTTCGACTTGATTTAAGATCACTTCCAGGTGGTTAGAAATTCCATAATTTCCAGTAGTGGAAGTTAACTTCTCCCGGAAAGTAAAGTTCGGGAAGTAAACATACATCATTCGAAAAGTAAAGTTCCGAAAAGTAAAATTTCAAGAAGTAAAAAAAACTCATTGAAGTAAAATCCTGAGAAGTAAAACGAGAAGTAAGATTAGTGTAATCTTAGAGAAGTAAACTTTTTGAATAGTCAATTTCCAAGTAATAAAATCAGCCAGGAAAGTTATCAAAGAAAATCATCAAAGTAAAATCACTTTGCATTCATAATAATTTGCATCGAAAAAATAACTTTGCGCTCAAAAAACACTTTTTGAATATATATACTTCTCGGTCATGCAATAATTTTTCGAATATTGTGACTATGAATCAACAACAACAACAACAACAACAAAAACAACAACAACAACAACAACAACAACAATAATAATAATAATAATAATAATAATAATAATAATAATAATAATAAGGGAAAATGGCACTTTTTCCCCTGTGTTGTTTACATATAGCATATTTTCCCCCTGTGTTGTTTATGTAACCACTTTATTCCCCTTAATTGTTTTTGAAGTGGCTATTTTCTCCGCTCTCCGTTAAATAAGTGTTAGGCCTGTTAAATATGAGGGTAAAAATGGCATTTCACTTATTATTATTATTATTATTATTATTATTATTATTATTATTATTATTATTATTATATAAACTATGTTAACATTTCTTTAAATTAATACTCCGTATAATTTAACTTTTTTTATTTTTAATTTATTAAAAATATTATTAAACACAAAAAAAAAATTAATTTAACAATTTAAAAAATTAACGAAGTAACTAAAAAGAGTTAAATTAATTAATAAATTATAAATAAGATAAGTAAGATGAGACAGAGAAAATAAGCACTATCATAAAAAAAAAAAAACAAAATATGATTTAAGCACATAATAATAATAATAATAATAATAATAATAATAATAATAATAATAATAATAATAATAATAATAATAATAATAATAATAAGTGAAATGTCATTTTTACCCTCATATTTAATAGCTCTAACACTTATTTAACGGAGAGGGGGAAAAATAGTCACTTCAAAAACAATTGAGGGGGATAAAGTGGTTACATAAACAACACAGGGGAGAAATATGCTATATGTAAACAACACAGGAGAAAAAGTGTCATTTTCCCTAATAATAATAATAATAATAATAATAAATTTTGAATTGAAATTCGTGTTGCATGTTCATATTTTATTGAAGGAAGAAAATGGAAAAAACAATAGCCAATTTCTTTTTTGAATCAACCATGGCTACTCATATTAACAAAAACAAAAAAAAAAAAATTATACTGTCTCGAAAATGCTCAAGACTGGTTGAGTGGGTAGAATATAATTTTTATACTAGAAATTTATGAGTTTGATTCTTATTAACATCGCTTTTGGTCGAGTCTATCATACTTTATTACATAGGAGAGGGAATAATAAAGTTATTGGGAAAAAAATTTCACTATATGATGTGATAGGAATGTGAGTGGCTAATAATGGCATATGTTCAACAAACAAACATGATAACTTGTTTAAGCTGCGCCCCTTCTATAAATACCGACCTATCCATTCCTGACAATTGAAACTAAGCAACCACAAAGAGAGGCAAAGAACAACGTAACCCATCCAGCCCCCAAACATCAAGAAGCTAAGATGCCGCGCATCACCGACGGTACGGTATATATTACAATTATTATGAATTTTCATTCTCAGCAATTAATATATGCTTCATATATACCGTGTTTACTGATTAATGATCGATCACTGCAACTTCTTACATATATACTAACTCGATCTATGTGGGCTTGTTTCTTTTTCCCTCATTGAAGGTAAGAATAGCTGGCCGGAACTGGTGGGAGTGGACGCATTTTTAGCCAAATCTACGATTGAGAAAGAAAACAGCGACTTGGATGTTGTGGTGGTTTTCCAAAACTGCCCCGTAACCCCGGATTATAAGCCTTGGCGAGTTCGTCTTATCGTCGACTGTAGCAACGTTGTCATAAGAACTCCGGTGACCGGCTAATCTAGTTGGGACATCATTATAAAGTGGATGTTACGCTGTAACCCTGCCCCAATAATAAATGTAAAACATGGACTTCATCAACTCCATGTTGGACTATGAATCCTTTACCCTTAAATAAGAGTGGCAAATAAACATCTGCTTTCTTTATCCTTTATCCTTCTTTTTTTTCAAGCCAAAGTCCTCTCCAGTTTCATCCAAACTCAATCAATTCCGTAATTTAATTTTTTAGATTTCGAATTTAATTATAGTTTATTATGATTTGATTAATAATTAAATATATACAAGAGTACAAGACCAGGTTATAAGACTATAATTCTTAGGTTTCATATATGTGGATTATTTTAAAACTTCGATCCAGAGTTGTGATGAGGAGTACAATTATTGTTCTCTGTATTAATTAAGAGAGTACTAAATTGTGAAAATAAAGGATGAATAGATAAAATGACTGTCTCTCTTTTGAGTTATAAGTAATAATGCAGAAAATAATGCTAAAAGTTGTTATAAGTTTATCTATTTGTGATCAGTAGTTTTCTACTCCTTGATTAGATACAGTTTTCTCGTGATTGTATATGTATATATATCAACAGTTATCTAAAAAAAAAAATGTGTTATGGAGTTCAATTAATCTGCTCTTCTTCTCTCCTTTTCTCCTTCTCTCTTCTTTTCTATACTGTTTTGAGCGTATAATTTCACAAGATTCACATGAGATTACGTTGTAATTTATAACAAAAGTATAAGTTTATCATTTTATATTAGTGTTGTTTAGATTATGATCTATCCAAAATGACAGCACTTGTTAGAAGAACAAGTAAATGAGCCTCCTTGGTGAATACTAACTAATTACGAGTACTATTAAAACTCCATATTAATAAGATAAAACGTACTACACTTAATATATAACTTGTGAATAAAAAGTGTAATTTCTCATCATAAGTTTCTCTCGTCACCAAAATAGTGCAATTTTAGTTCATGATGAGTAATATTGAAAGTGTATGTAGTTTCCCTTTTAAATATATAAATTTTATACAAAATAGTGCAATTTTAGTTCATGATGAGTAATATAGAAAGTGTATGTAGTATTCCCTTCTAAATATATAAATTTTATACACTAATATTGTTAGGATCAAGTGTTGGAACTCCGTTGGTGAAAACAAATAATAATCCAATAAAATAAGATTATTATTTTTCTGGAAAATAAGGAAAGGAAAGATGGAGAATTTGGCTAGTGTTTGGTGTTGGATTTTTAGCAAGAGTTTTCCTTAAAACCTTATTTGCCACCTCCCAAAAGTGCTAGGAGCATTGTGGCCTAGACTTTCCAGGATAAAACTTGCTTATGATCCAATGTTTGAGCACCCAAACAAGGAATCCGGCGAACAAAGCAAGGTTATCACAGTATGGCTAAGAAAGAGTAGAAGCAGAGAGTTTTTGAGGAAAAAATGATACTTTCTTGTTGGAAAATAAATGCCTTTTCGAACTCGTTTCTAGTTGGAATTTGATTTACACCCCCCTCCCCTGCGCGAGAGCGGCTCTATGCTATACAATTCTACAAGCTTCAAAAAAGCTCTTGTATAAATAGGGGGGCGAATCCTCTTTCCAAACCAATGTAGGACAAAAGCTCACTTTTTCCCTTCATTTTCCAACTCAAATAGGTGTACTTTGAGAATCAATATCTCATTCACCCATTATCCGTTTTGAGCGTACAATATATCAATCTCTTCGTCTCACTACGAAGAACCCGAATCCACTTTGACCCGATCCAAATCGGAAGTGGACCCCACTGATAATTGTACCACAAAATAGCCACTTAACATGTCATTTTAAGCTATTTTTTCCAACATCAAGTACTTACAATTATTTCTTCTACTAGAAGCCTTAGTTGGATAACATGCCGACTTACTTTGATACTAATTGTTAAAATCAAATACTTACCACTATGCCAAAAACTATAATTAGTAGAAAAATTACAACTTTATTTTCATAAACTTGTGTAGCAATCAATGTCACATTTGGATAGCAAGATATTTGACTTGGTCCTCCAAGCCCCTGCCTAACAAATATTAACTAATATTATAAAAAAAAATTATAAATAATTTCAATCACATCAATCAATTGAATCAGACACAAAGGAATGAGTAATTAATTAAATTCATTTATCAATTCAATGATTTTGTGTGTAGCAAGTCTATCTATCAATGGTCACATATTTAACTCGCATGGGCAGCTCAACTGGTCACAGAGGTAAAACTTCTTGGAAGAATGACCAAGGATCGAGTCTCACCAGCGGCAGTGAGGGAGGTTCCTTGTGTGCAGTGCGCAAAGGTCTAGCCTCTGTAGTTCATGTTTAGTTGAGTTACCATGATTTACATCCTTCCAAATGTTCTGTCGGGTTGGGGTTCAACCTTTTGGAAGAATGGTCACAATTTAATATCGACACATAAAACACATGGTCAAATCCTGGATTGCATTTTTTCTGTCGGGTTGGGGTTCAACCTTTTGGAAGAATGGTCACAATTTAATATCGACACATAAAACACATGGTCAAATCCTCGTTGGATTGCATTTTTTCTTAAGGTGTGGTGTTGGTAGTAGGGATGGTAATAATAATAATGGAAAGATATGAGAGAAAAGAGAAAGATTAAAAAATTCAGAAAATATCTCTTCGACTAAAAATCTAAGAGACATTTTATGTCAGGCACCAAATTAAGTTATTTTTTTCATTGACCAGAATGAATATTTTTCCTTTGATTTTATTTTCTTTAAATACCAAACACAAAAAATTTCAAAAATAAAAAATAAAAAAATTCGAAAGTCATTTTCTGAATTTTTAAAAAAAAACCCTTAAATCAAAGATAAAAAAATATTACATTATTTTAATCAAAATGTAAAAGTATTAAAGTCATATTTTTATCTTACAGTTCTTGAAGATCTACTCAACAACACGCAACAATGTTGACATATAAAACTCGTGAGAAATAATAATTGGACTACCTGACAGAAAGACATTTAATTTTCCGAAGAAATTTGGGTTTATCCTATCAGCTTTTGCATGTCGCCACGTATATATCTGACATGCATGATAACGTTTTCTTTGTATATATAAAAGAAGATGAGAACGAAGTAGTACAAATATAATGCATGTTTTCTATGCATAGCAAAAGCTGGGCCATATTCTTATCATCTTTTTGTGTGAATGGTAATAAAATGCAGAAATGGTCCAGGGTTATGAAAAGGAGATGAAATAATAATGAAATGATCAATATTAAATTTATTGAGACAGTGAGTATATAATCTATAACTATATTAATAATTAAAAAATCATAATAAGAATAGAACTCATGACCATTAAGAACCAATTTATGTCATTTGTATGAAACTAAAATTAGAGCACAATATCGTATAAATTTAGCATTGTTGAGATGCTAGTTGTGACCCATTTAATCAAAATCAAATTTAATTAAATTATACTCAATTTTTGTTGTCACATTTTTTTTTTTTGTTTTGTTTTGATTGATCGAATCTCATTATTGTCATAAATTGATAAGTATATACTCAATTGTCTGTCACTTTTTGAAGTAGTGTCCATTAATTTTATTCCTAGATTAGTGAATAAGTTGACTCATGCAATGGCTAGAGCTACTGATTCATTTACTGGTCCTTGTCTTTGGGTTGACTCAATTCCTTCTTGTATTCAAACTTTTATTTAATCTTAATGGTAAAACTTTGTTTTTCAAAAAAAAAAAAAAAAAAAAAAAAAAAAAAAAAAAAAAAAAAACGAGTAAGATATTGCATTAGATCTCATTTATGAAAATAATAATTTGTTAACATAACCTTTTATTATGTTTTTTTATCATATTCTTTAATTTATTATTGTCTATATATAAATATTTGTCTTGCATGCAATAATGTGGTGGTGGAATTTTTGGCGAATATTTATACTTTCAAATCTCAGTCAACAACTATGTTGGCATAGAAAACTCGTGGGAAATTTTCATGGGCAGTTGTCAGTAGGAGAATGATATTTGGGGGGAGAAATTATTTCAATTGTTAAAGCATGGTCGAATGTGAATCTTGATACAAAAATTATGTATCTTCTGTTAACACATTTTGTATTTACAGTTAACAATTTAATTTCTGTATATGTAAACAAATATTGCATTGTGAACCCTGATACAAAAATTTTGTACCTTCAATTAACACATTCAGTACTACTTACAGTTAATAATTTATGTACATGCAAACAAATCTACAATCTACATCTACAAATTTAATAAGAGCGAATAATGTTAGGCCCTTAACTGGAACAAAAAAAATGTCGGTACTAATTGTTTCTTAAAATGAATGGTTCATATTATTTTGATTTTAGTATCTTTTAATGATTTTCCTTATTTACCCTCTATTATATTATTATTTTTCCTTAAATAACCCTAAATTCCGTTAGTTTAAACTTTAGTAACGGAATATTCCGTTAACTATTTATTATTCTTAACATACTCTTAATTTATATAAGGTTTGAGGTTCGAACCCCATCCCAAGTAGAGTTGGCATAATTGTTAATTAAACATATATTATGAATTATGAATATTATATTTGTATAAAATACTTGATAAATAAATATGTTATTTATTTATTTATTTATCAAGTATTTTATACAAATATAATAAATATTAATATTTTGTTCAATACTTTCACATGATTACCTACGACACAAATCTCACAACACATGAAACATGTAGGGAAAAAACTACTACTACTAAATATCAATAGGTGTTTGTACGTTAAAGAGTTCATATTACAACTAAAATCTCAGTCATATACACAGCAAGACAAATCTAAAACTTCATACACCCTAATCTCATTGCATGATGAATCCATCTATGCTTCTACCAGTGACCTAATTGCACATGACACACTACCAATAAAAAAAAAATGTACTGAACTCTATGTTCATAATTACTGAACTTCATATTCATAATTATTGAACTCTATATTCACAATTACAGAACTCTATGTTCATAATTACTGAACTATATGTTCATAATTATAAAGGTATATATTCATAATTTTTTAACTTCATATTCACAAGTATTGAATCTCTATATTCATAATTACAAAACTATATGTTCATAATTATGTTCACAACTCTATGTTCATAATTA